TGTGTTTTGTTTTAGTGTTAAAGATAAGCCTGAGGTCACGTCCGATCAATAGTAAGTCAAAGGTTTCAGGCCCAGGCCAGTCACAGTCCCCAGGGTCACGTCTGAATCAGTCCAGGAGTCCAAAAGACAGGGCCAATGGCCACAGCTGCAGCAGACCATGGGAAGGGTACTGGGACACACACTTTGCAGCAGCAGGTACTGGGTAAGAGTCCCAGGTCAAGGGAGGTTGAACGCAGACCTCATTCAACCGGTCAAATAGTATAAAGGACTTGGCCAGCCTCCCATTCAGCAGATACTCATGGGCATGAGAGTGTGGAAGTTTTGAGGCACTTGTGCGCAAGAATGCTAGTGAGCTGCGCAGGCTAAAGAGTTGCGCTAAGGATGAAGAAAGGAGTTGGGCGCTGACTGAAGGAAGCAGCCATAGCTGCGCCAACAGGAGTTAGTAGCATTAGAAGGGTTAGTAGTAGGAGTACCAGTGAGTAGTATTCAGAGTAGATCCTTGTGTGATAGGGAGTGTGCATGCATGATGGGAGAGAGTAGACTAGGACTTCAGAGAAAGAGGGAGAGAGAACAAAGACGAGGAGAGAAGAGAAAGAAGAGAGCTATGGAGTTACCTGCCTGTTGAGCGTCATTCTTGATGATTGGTTGTTCGCGCTCATGAGTGTCAGGTCAGGAACTCACATTGGATGAAGAAGACTTGTATTTTTGTTGGGCGCTATACACTTTGAACTCGTGATTCTCCCTACTTAATTTGGTTGTCATAATTGAGTTGAGCTTTCGGGTTCTCATTCATCTTACATTGAGCTTTGTGTGAGGCTATGCAATCTGTGTGATTTGTATTCATGTATGCTAAGTGAAACACTCCAGCAAGTAGTAAAAAATCAGGTTCCTTGCAATAAATGTAATGAACTGCAAGCAGACTCGACTTCAGACTTGCTTGCAACATGCATACACACAGACTGATCGCAACACCAAACTCGTCAACTCAAAATTAACAACCAACTTGCATTGAAACTCTGAACACAGGCTTTGGGATGTTGTCAGTGCAAACAACTATAGACATAGTGAAATGCAATCAGACTCAACTTCAAACCTGCTTTCAACATGCATACACACAGACTGATGGCAACACCAAACTCGTCAACTCAGAATCAACAACGAACTTGCACTTAAACTATAAACATAAGCCCTGGGATGTTGTATGGGCAAACAACCATACACGTAGTGAAATGCAATCATACACGACTTCACACTTGCTTGCAACATGCATACACACAGACTGATGGCAACACCAAACTCGTAAACTCAGAATCAATAACGAACTTGCACTTAAACTCTGAACATAGACCCTGGATGTTGTCGGCGCTCACGTAGTGAAATGCAATCAGATTGAACTTCAGACTTGCTTGCAACATGCATACATACAGACTGATGGCAACACCAAACTCGTCAACTCAGAAT